AGCTTCATTCGCTGCTGCTGCCTTGCCCAGGAGCCTCCTGCGGGCTTGTGCGTCCCGTTGTGTTAGTTTCAACATCCAACTGTCTCTCGCTTTCTGAAGCTGTAGTGCTGTTAATAAATAACTGTAGGTTTAAGTATAAGATTTTTAGGGAAACGTGGCTTCGGTTCACTTCCCGAGGGTTCACTGCACACGAGCTGGGATGGGCTGGCCTGGTGTAGGAACCTGGCACTGGGTTTCTACACACGGGATTGGCACCTTCAAACTGCCCCAGTTCGTAGTTGGCCTCTGGCTGCATTCGTAGGAAAGACTTAATGTGGAAATTGGTTCACCCAGTTCAGTATGCCTGAAGCTGGGACAACGGTCACTTGTTCCGGTCTTCTGGTTACTAAATGGCTCCTCACTATGCAATTTGCCAAGTGGAAAATGGTAAGAGGCAGTAAATGCTCTTGTGTGGAAGTTCACCAGTAATTCAACCCATCCGGGTGATTTATTGCTTTGCTTTGCTTTGAAAGTGACCTGCAAGTGGGAAAGTAGCTCCCTGGTTTCTTCATGTGGGAAGCTCTTGCACTCTCTTCTCCAGCCACCCCTGCTATCCCCCCTTCAGGAAAAGAAAAGGGAATTTCTCACTGTTTTTCATACTGGAAGTGAAGTGTTCCTCCAGCAGCAGTTACGGGTCTGGGGATGCCTCTTTGCTGTGTGTGTATGTGACACCTGAGACTGAACGTGCCACGTGCTGCCGGAGGGGTTCCTGCTGCCCCCCTGCCCCGGGAGTGCCGGAGCCCGGCTGCATGGCAGGAGTCAGCGTGGACATCACCCTGCTCGGAATGGGAGCTTGAGCCGTGGAGGTTTTCCCATGGTTTATAGAGCTGGGGGGGAATTCCCATGGTTTATAGAGCGGGGGGTGGGGGGGGGCTTCCCATGGTTTATAGCCCTTACTCATCTTGGGAGAATTTGGAGAACTGGTGAGATCTCAATCTGCAGCAGTAGAAGAGAGGTGGGTACTTCTGATGGGGGCGGGAGGGAGAGAGGGCAAACTTAAAAGAGGAGGGAGGCAAATATGGTAGAAGATATGACTTGTTTGTTTAATTTTGGTTTGGGTGTTGGGGATTTTTCCTCCTCCCTGTTCTGGCAGTTCAGTTGATTCGAAGCAGCTCACAAGCCTGGAGGTGTCCCCTGTTCCTGCAGTGCTTCCTCAGAGAGGGGCAAAGTGACACATGTGAAGCTGAGTATCTTAAACAAAACGCCAACATTTTACATCTCAGATGGGCAGGAGATGAATTTTTCATGCCAGTTACGTGTTGTCAAATTATTTACCTAAAACTGTTCATATTTTTTGACATTTGACTTGTTTATTTAGAGGCTACTTGTAAATTGTAACAAGTGTGGGTTACGTGTTGGCTGTAGGCATCTCTTGATTACCAGGCGAAGCTCCTGTTGATACGCTTGAGTTCATCAGCTTTTTCCCCAGGTTTTTGCATGTTATAAATGGAAATCCCATCCTGCCTTCCTGTAGATGGATGTTTAGGAAGTATGGGAACTTCATTAAATAGATTTAAGTCTTTCAAGTTCATCTTGAAAGTTGCAGTGTTCGTTTTCTTGGTAAGCTTTATGTAATGGTGACTCTTAAGCCAGGCAGTGAGTCTGAGTGGGGGTTGGTTGCTGTGGTGGGGGTTGTGTTGGGTTCTGTTTGCTGGGGTGGTTTTGCCATGGGGCTTTGTGCAGTGCCCGCGTTACAGCAGCAGGGTCCGCAGTGGGCTGTGGTGCTGGGGGCGGTGGGGAAAGGGCACAGTGCTTCCATGGGGGTGGCCAAATTCTCATGTGGACCCGCCTTCTGTGGGAGCCGGCACCTGGATGGGCATGAGGAGGTGCTCTTCACCAGGGCCTGAATGAGAAACTGTGCTTTGGCATTGAAAGCCAAGATTCCACATGTGGTGAAGCAATCCAGGTGTGGTCCCTTGGAGCATTTGAGCAGTGCTTCCGGGTGTCTCGCTCAAAGCCTGTATTGAAATCTTTGGGTTATGCAATGTTGTGATGAGTGTTTCCTTTCTGCGTGTTTGAATATTGCATAAACTTCAACACTGCTCACCAGTGGACCAAAGAAATGGGTCTGACAACAGTGGGTGTTCTGAAAAGCTCAAAGTCAAGGTGTGTTAGTGGACAATGAGTTTTATTTGTATCTTGCTTTGGAGTTAAACCATTAAAACTTATCTGTCAAACAATTGGGGTTACTGCCTTTCAGTATTGCAGAAAAGCCCAAGCAAAAAGCCTCAGTACATGTTCTTCCCAGAGCTCTCTATCCCTGGGTTAGGATTCCTCTGGAGTGACGCTTGCGTCACGCAGGCTCGGTTGGTTTCCAGCCACAAAGCAGTTCAGTTGAATGTCCCTTTTGGTGTGTGGGGTTGCAGTGACACACGTGATGTGCATGGCCCTTTTTCTCTTTTGCGAAGAGTTGCATTTGGGACGGCAGCAAAATGGCTCGAGGACGCAAGAGCAATAGCATCAAACAGAGCGACTTCACCAACAGCACCAACCCTCAGGACTTAGAGAGAAGACTTTTTGTCGGCAATTTGCCCACAGACCACATGACTCGTGAAGAAATGGAAGAGATATTTTCAAAATATGGCAAAATCAGGGGTTAGTATTTTATATTTATGCCTTTTTGTGCCTGGGAACTCAGTGAGAAATACTGCTTTCATGCTTGTCAAATGCTATTTGCTGATGATGGGAGGAGTGACTAATCCTGTTCCTAAAAAGTGACCTTTCAGTGATAGTTTTCTCTGAAAAAGAGATTCCTTCAGCACAGCTGAGATGTAACGTGTGTGTATCAGCTACATTTCAGCTTTGGGGTTGCAGTGTGATGTTACAACACTCTTTCAAGTAACCCGATAGTCTCTTAATCAAATCTTGGTTATATCACGGCTGTATTTTGGTCACTGCCGTGTCAGAAGGCAGTAGATCTATGAAATGCATTTCAGAGCCTTTAAGCTCTGCATTTTGATCCTGGTAGATGTGGTTTTCCCAGGAAACTTGCAGTGGTTTCTTGACTTGGGGTTAGGCAGTGGCTTGGGTGTGGGTTGGTGCTGTCCCCTGGTTGTAACCAGTCTTGCCCTGCTGTTGCCTTTTGCAGCCCTCAGCATGTACCATGGCTATGGGTTCGTGCAGTACGACCGTCTGGAGGATGTCCAGGCCGCTCTGGACGGGGAGAAGGGCCGCCTTTATAAAGGGTATAGATTAGGTAAGGAAAACTGCTCCATGCTCTCCCACTGACCCCAGCATGCATCCCAGTAGAGAGAGTGCTCTTGTTCTAAAGCTCTTCAGAAAGATCCCTGTGTGACACTTGCCTGGTGTTAGACTCAAATCACTTTCACTAGCTGTGTATTTCCCTTCAGTTACTTGCTCTAAGTGTTGTGTGGTTCATCTTTCTACCTAGGTCTTACTCTGAACTTCGTGTGTTAGTATTTGAAAAGGTCTGCTGCCCTGTGTTGAGAGGCTGCTCCAGCCCTGGGCAGTGCTCAGCGCAACCTCATGCGTGTAGTTTTAAAAACATTTGTAAAGCAGCACTGGTTCCTCTAGGCAGGCTGAGGAACTGGTCACAGCACTCAGCAGTTTGTGAGCCCAGTAATCTTGGGTGGTTTTGCACATGTGCAGTCAGTCTGAAAGTGGTGTGTGAATACCAGGTGCTTTAAGGAGGCCATTTTCATACAGATAAAAATATTTCTGGTAAATGTGCTGGGAGCAAACTTAAACAGGAGTGAGTGGTTAGAAAGCTGAGTAATCTATTACATACAAGCAAAACAATTACTTTTGAAGCAAACCTGTGCTAATTTGAAGACAAACAGTTTGATGTAGAAAGGAATGAAAGGAGCATTAAACAATGATTTGTGGGAAGGTGTGTCTACAGTAACAAACCCGAGCCTCAAGATGGATATGAAGGCAAGTAGACAAGGAGGGTAGAAGGATACAAGAAGAAATTACGGCCAGTGCTGTTTATGTCTAGAAACTTAAGCAGGAACAACTGTAGCTGCTTTAGAAGCTGAGGTGTAACTGCCTGGGAATGATAACAGTTTCTAACTGGAAAGACCACTTGGTATTCAGTTTTTGCTGTCTCTCTTTGAAGAGGCACAAGGTGCTTTAATATAATTTCCATTTCAGTAGAAAAATTGAAAAGGTAAAACAGCAGCTACCAAAACTGGACCTCTCAGAAAGTTTAAATCTCTTGTCTGTGAGGCTCAGTGCAGACCTGGGCTATTCCTGTCATTTTCCCACAAGCTTTGGGAACCAGGGATTTTCCAGGGCTGTAGCAGAGCGCTGTGGATGTGCCAGTCAGCAGCATAAGTGGGGCAAGTGAGGCATCTGCCCCTGATAGCAAAGGGATTCTTTCACCTGACACCCACTGAGAAGGGAATTCATTAATGCCAATCAAAAGAAATCCTACCTCTTATTCTGCTGATACGGTGAGCTTTATGGCTGAAAGTAGCAGTGTTCTGTAAGATGTTTGCTTTGATTAAGAAACTAAACAATTAAAACCAATGTAGGGTTAAATGGATTGGAATTCGAGCTCAGTGTAATGTAGATGGAATTGCTCTGTGCTTTGAGTGGCGTTCTGGAAAAAATGATTCCTGGCCATGCAGTGCTTTTGTAAGTGGCTTGGGGAGAAAAGACACAATCATGTTTCAGAAAGAGAATGAACTAATGAAGATGGAGTCACTGGTGGTGAAATGACCTGGACTTCTTCCTAAGCTGGATGCAGGCAGAGCTGAGCTCTCAGTAAAGCCAGAAGGGAAGATCTGCACCCAGCAAGAGTGCTTTTGTCATCCCTGGCTGTACAAAACAGCTTTGTAAGCGGTGAGGGTTTGGTACCTGGGGTATACTTCTGGAATACTGTGTTCAGATCTGGTATGCCTCGTTCAAAGAGGATAATGCTAAATGGGAGAAGCCTCAAAAAACCTGAAGAAGGCTTAAAGAGCTGAAGAACAAGCCCTAGCAAAAGCCTTGAGATAAAGGAGTGATGTGATCTGTGTAACAGACAGACCTGGAGATAAGTGAGTTTTAATCTAGTAGGCTTAGGCATGACAAATCCTTAAATGGAAATAAATAGTTTTCTTTAGCAGCAAAGTAATTGACTTCTGGAATAACTCACTGGAGCTTTGGTGCTTTCTGTGCTCTGAAGACTTTTAAATTGGAATTGGATGTTTTGCTAAAAGATAAGCTCGAGCTCAATGCCACCACTGTACTTGAGATAGGAATGTGATTCAAGGCTCTCTTGTCACCCGTGTTCATTCAGAAGGTCACTGCAGTGGCCCTGTCACCTCAGAACCCTGCAGGACAGAAGACCTTTTTTTTTCTCTGAAGTTTTGTCAGTGTTCACATAATTAACCTGTAAATGCTGTTGGCATTAAATAAAATGTTATTAAATCCGTTCATTTTGCACCAGAGGAGGGTCCCTGTCAAAGGTGGTTTTTTTTCTTCTAGGAAAATATTTTTGTTGAGGTTTTTTTTTTTTTTTTTTTTAAGTAATGTATGGTTTTGAGTGTAAAAATCCTGATAGGTGTCTGCAATGGCATCGTAAAAGAGAATAAAAATAATCTTAAACCAAAGAAAGCAGATAGTGTCTTGCTTAAAGATAACACTTGCCTTTAAGGGGAAAAAAAATCTCAAGAAAAAAATAAATGCAAGGAGAAGAGTTGCCTCAGTTACACAGTCTGAGCATTAAATGTAACTGCTAAGAACACAAGTAGGTAAAAGGCTTTGGGAGAGTTTAACTCCAATGTTGCATTATATGAATGCTTCCACAAACACATAGAAGTGTTTTCGTATCTTTATTGGTTAAAGCTATGTAGGGAATAAATGCCCATCAAATTTAGTTTGTGACAGCCGGCAACGAATGCAGCTGATCCTGGAGGCTGCTCTGTGGTCCTGAGTGCTCTGGTGCTACAGCCGCAGTTAAGGTTCAGGCTACACTTGCTTCTCTCCCCCACAAAAAGTGAACACACTGCTGCTTGGTGGACGACGGGAGCAAAGGTTAGAACAGATCCTGTAACTGAAAGTTCTGAAGAATAGTTTGGGAAGATCTGCAGAAGATGTTAAGACTGAGTCTGCCTAAAGCCATGTGGCATGTTTATTCTCTTGCAAGAGCTTTGAAAGGAGGTAATGCAAACTACTAGGAACTTTAAATTGTCAATAGGTTCTCAGGGAGCAGATAGGACATGGGTTGGTTTTGTTTGTGTCCTTAAAAGGCTCTCAGAGTAAAACATCTGAAGTAATTTCTGTCTGTTCTTGCCCCCCTCCAGTGCCTTATTCCATTCTCAGTCAGCTGTTACCAGCGGCTTTGTTTCCTCACAGTAGAACAAATTGGTCCCTGCCGGTTCTGGACAGCTTCACTTTTTCTGGCTGAGGACAAGACTCTGTTTATCGAGTTGTCTTACTTCATTTCACTTCATGATGTTTTTCATGGGGGTGCTCAGAAACCAGCCAGTTCTCAGTTTCTGATCTGTTGCATCAGTTTGCATCATGTTAACAGTGGTGCTTTGAATGCGCCATGTTGACCTTCCTAAGGAGCTTGTGCCTCAGGCTCCCCGGATCCCACTCACCGAGTGGAGGCTGCAGCAGCACCTTGGAGGCAGTTGCATGTGCCACTTGAGAACCCTCATGTTGTTCTCAATAAGGGTAGCAGTATGCTCCATTGAACAGTTTTGGCTGGGAACTTGAGACTGTGCTGGCCATCAGCTTCCTTTCTTGGTGGTTTTCAGACTCTGCTTTTTCTCCTAGAGTCCATGAGTTGCTTTCTGCTCGCTCATAGACTGCAGAAGAAAGAGGTTTTCTTATGGAATGAAGAGTCTGCATTTAGGCCTGAACATAAAATGTTAAAACTCTACCTAGGCTGTCCACCCTATTTCGAAGTCAGAAATCCATGAACATTTCATTATGTTGTACTATCAAAACTTAATAAAAAATTGTCAAAGTGACAATGTCTCTCTGCTGAATGGATTTTCTTGCACCATCTGGATGTTGTTGAACTTAAGTTGCTTTCATTTGAATTGTGCTGATGATATTTTTTTTGTTCCATAGCATTGAACAGATGGGTTGATTATTCTTTACAGATATTAATAAAGCAGTGGAAAGAAGAAATATGAATAAGGCTTCATCAAGGTCCAGTCCGGCACGAAGGTAAAGTACCTGGAAGCAATGAGTTGTAGTAGGAAGGTCAGGGCGTGAGCCCAGTGGCCTGTGCTAAATGTGTGTGTCTCCCCCATGGCCACCCCCACTCAGACGGCGACGCTCAAGTGAGACAGTTGGGACGTGGCCACTGCAGCTCTCGGGGCCCTTCTGGCGCTGGCACCTCGGGAGACATGAGGGAAACCTCGTGTCTGCTGCTGTGACTGCAGCTAAGTGTTATGTTTTGCAGCAAAAGTCATAGGGGCTTGTGAGGAAGAATACACGTGATGTTCTCTCCTGCCTCAAGTGTCAGAGAAGCCGAGGCATATCTAGGGAATGCTACTGGGCTGTAGCATTCCCAGTGCCATGCTGTAGAAGACTTTGGGATCTTGTCTCTCCTGATGTTGAAAGCTTCCAGTGCTGAAATGAGACTGGAAAAGAACATAAGAGTGAAGCACAAGACAGACCAAACATCTCTCTTGCACTGTCCTGTCTGCCAGGACCTGGAGCCAGGTTAGTGATGGGCACCTGCCAGCTTCTCATCATTTTCTGCCCCTCAGTAGGCACAGCGTGTGCTGCTCCTGCACCTCCTCCGTGCATGAAGTCACAGGCAAGTGGAGAAGACACAGACTGTCCTGTCACAGGAAGGCAGCTTCAGGTTCCTTTCCATGGCACTACTGGGAGCACACAAAGATGTGCTGTTGTGCATCTTCCATGCCTGTAATGTGAAGCTTTCCACACAGTGTTGCTTGTTGGACTTAAAGGTAATCAAGCCCTCGCGTATCTCGTGTGGTCTACTAACCTGACCTGCGAAATTACCAAAAACTGAGGAAAAAGTTCAGCCAGCAAGACATCTACCACCAAAAAAATCAGCAAATGAGTAGCTGCAATACTTGGCATCATCTAGGTCTTTTGTATGTGCTGCACTTATTCTGCACAGGGCCAAATGCACTTGCAGAGACCAGCATACTACAGGAACCACATTGGGCACACAGTTGGGGGGGTCCTGTTACACATCTGTAAGCATCTGAGCCTTGGGGTGTGCTCAGTGCTGGCACAAGGACCCCAAGCACACTGCAGGTATGTGTGCAGCAGGCACCGATGCCATGAGCGCTGGTCCTCAGACCTCACGGGGAGAGATAAGCAGCAGGTCCTGATGCACTGGGACCTGTGTCATCCTGCGTGTGCAAGAGCAGATGCTCACATCAAGGCCTCCAAGGAGCACTGGAGCTGCATGGGCGTGTTGAAGGCTGCGGTGCTGCTGAAACAGGCACTGGATTCCAGCTGGCACTGCAGACACTGTGGCCATCCCGTGTCACTACCCCCGGTCCCAAGCAGCACTGTGGGTGTCAGGTCCTGGCCATGGATGATGGACCTGGTGCACGCTGCAGGTGTGTGAATGACAGCGGTGGAGTCCTGTGCTGTGGTGCTGAGTCCTGAGCGGACGTGGGCAGTTGGGCTGGTGCTGCAGGAGTCAGGCTTTGGTGACAGAGGTGCAGAAGGCCGCTGTGCCTTCATGCTGCTGCCTCTCTGCAAGCAGCCCAGCAGTGATGGGGAGCAGAGGGGACCCACACCTCGTCTGCGCTTCTGTGGCAGTTGTGCGGTGCTCGTTCCGGATCTATTTGTCTCTGCAGATGATGGATGTGGCCTGTTCTGGTCACCCCACTCCAGCTGGAATAAATGTCCTATGCCAAACAATTCCGCTGCGCTGGCTGTTTTGCTGTAGTCCTGCAGCTGCAGAACGACCAGTTACTCAGTATCCATTAGAGCAAGTGGGAAGTTTCCCCTGAGCTTCCAGCATGGTTCACTGTAGGTTGGGGGGCAGGGGACAAGGAGGTGTATCTTATGTGATGTGGTTTCAATACAGATCACGGACAAGTGGATCTGTGTGTTCAAGAGGCTGAGGGAGTTTACACTTGTGTGTGTGCAAATACAGTGTTTCTTTTACAGGAGGACACTATGTATGTTCTTAGTGGCAACTCTGTCCCAAGATTTCCTTCATACCTGACATAAAAGCAGGGAATGACAGTGCTTCTGTGTGTCCCCTAGCACAGCTGGGTGTAACCACCCGAATCCATGCACACTCTGCACATCTGTCTGTACCTGACACTGAACTTGGGCACATCTGACTCGCTGCTCCTCCCGTTCTCTCCAGGTGACTACCACGTGAATGCACCATAGTGGAAGTAGGCTTGCGTTCTGCTTATCTTTCCTAACCTGGATTAGGCTGGTAGAGGACTCTAAATGTCTGTCAAGTTTTGGAAATAAAAAGATTCAAAAAGCTGTTTTTCTTCTGATGGCTGTCAGTATCTCAGGGAAAGAACATGCCGAACATGTGAGTCTCAGTAGTTTCCCTGCAAGATTCTTTTCTGTTTGGCTTAGACTGCAGTGAAGTGATGTGGTTTTTTCTGGAAAACAAAATATGACCTGGAAAAAAACCTACTTTTTTTGGAAAAGTTGAAGACTGGGATGTTATTCTTCCTTTCCTCCGAAGACAGTGCAATACAAAGTCTGAATGAGATGGATCATTCAGATACAACAGAGAAGCTGTTTCTGCTGAGGATGTGGTGCTGGTGGGGTTTGGTACCCCCTTAACAGGGCCATCATAAGCATAAGACTGGCTTTGTACAGAAACTGGCCCTTCCAGCACAGGACATGGCGGCTGCTGTCACTGCTTTCTGCTGGCAGCACAAACCCAACCACAACATGGAACCTGCAGTGTCTTTGGTCACGGCAAGCTCCTTTTTTAATGATATGCTAATAACAAATTATTTCAGGTATTCTGCTGTCATTGACTGGTGAACTTAATGGATCCCATGAATGCTCCTGGCTACTGCAGGTCTGTGGTTATTGGGCTGCAGCAGCTTCAATGCTCTCAAAAACTTGCAAAAACACATTTGATAGATCTAAGGCTGGCGCCCTTGAAATGGTGTTTTCTGAGGTGCCTGTTAACTTCTTCCACAGGTGCTCTACGCTTTTAGTGATGCTCCATTAAGGAGCTTTCTGGGTCTTGTTCGGAATGAGAAATGTTACAATTAAAAGCTTCTCCAGGCTGCTTCAACAAATATGTTTTGGGGGTAATTCTTGCTGTTGTGGGTTAGGAGGGAGGATTCAGCTGCTTTGGCACCTCAGGTAAGAGATCTAGGGGTAAGTGTACTTGTGCCACTAGCAGTCTAATGAACTGTTCCTGGTGTTTTCCTCAGGGAGCCGTATGCCTACGGGGATGGCCGAGACACCAGGCGTGACCGCTCCCCTCTTCGGGGGAGCCCACGGAGAGACCCTAGAGATGGTAGAAATGGCCGAGATTCCAGAGACACTCGAGACATCCGAGCTAGAGACATGCGTGACACCAGAGACCACAGGGACCCCCGGGACCTGCGGGACCCGCGGGACATCAGGGATCCAAGAGACCTGCGGGACCCTCGGGATATTCGAGACCTTCGTGACCCACGGGAGCCACTGTATGATCGATACAGGGATCCACGGGATATGAGAAATCCACGAGATGTGAGGGATCCACGGGATATGAGAGACCCTCGGGACCCTTTGTACAGGTAATCTCCCTGGGCTTGCGTTTGCCGACATGTTTTATGGTGTTCCTGCCTTAATGGCTGCGCTGGATTGAGTGGTGTCAGGCATCTAAGATCAGTAAATTGCTCTGGCTGGGGACAGTTGGGTGCCTGCTTTGGGTCTTGGGGGGAGCAGGTGGGTACTTCAGAATTAAACTCGAGGAGGGTTTGTGTGTGATGCATTGGCTAAAGTTACTGCCTGAGCTGGTGCTGGAGCATGGAAACCTTTGCTGCTTCTGTAAATGTTGCAGACGAGATGAATCCTATGACCGTTACCTTCGCTTCGAAGACTACTGTCGGCGGAAGGACGACTCTTACTACGACCGTTACAAAGAGCATTTTGACAGAGCACCAGTGAATTCAGATGGTGAGTACCCATAATGTTGTAATGGGCAGATTCACATCTCCCCCTGGAGGGTATGGGAGGTGCAGTGCCGAGAGTGGGTCCAGAAGGCATCATGTGTTCTGTCCCTGGGGCTGGCTTTCAGAGCGCCTGAAGCGTGAGGAGCGGCGCCGGGAGGAGCTGTATCGTCAATACTACGAGGAAATCAAGAGACGTTTTGATGCAGAGAGACCCGTGGATTGTTCTGTGATCGTGGTGAATAAACAGACAAAGTAAGAAAACAGTTATGACCAATTTTATTATTGCATAGTAGAAGAAAGTGAAACTAAACTTAGCCCTGCCTTGAGGCTGTTTATATTGCCAGTTGCTTTTGAAGGACGTGGCTTTAGAGCCCTTGGAAAGCTATAGCTCCTGTTGCTGTTCTGGGAACATAGGTTGATGAGATGGAGAAATATTGTATCTTGTGCTTTACTTTTATTTCATTCTTCTCACCTATCACTATACCTTCTCCTGTTACTTTTCTACTTACTCTTCATATCAGGTTGTAGCAGCTTGTACTTATTATTCATGTGCTGAATGATACAGAACTTACTCATATGTGCCAACCAGCAGATAGTGCAGAGCAGATGTTGGGCAGTTGTGGGGGTGTTCATTTCAGAGCTCCTGTCACATTGGTTACTAGGACAGATACCTGTCATCACTGCCAATCCAACATGCAAGAAATGCAAAATCACTGCTGCCAGTCATGAGCAGTGTCAGAGCATGTGTGAGTAGTAACCAGGGCAAGCTCTTGGGGCAGCCCAAGTGCTTCGTTGGGAACAGGAGGGCACATCTGTGTCTGGTACAACAGGACTGGGGCTGTAATGATGGCACCACTCTGATGGCTACAGCTTTAGACATAAATATATTGAAGAATAGCAAATGGTAAATAAATCATAGACCTGGCCTGGAGTCTAAGGAAAGTGTTTGTCAAGGGGAGATGTAAAGCTCTGTCTCCATAGCCCTTCAGAAAAGAGATCAAGAGTTGATTTTATCTAACTGCTCTGTCTGTGAGGGAGAAAAACAGAGCTGGTGCTTGCCTGGCCTGGTGGTGGAAGACAGAACAGGAAACAGGAACAAGGGAAGCAGTGAAACTAGAAATAAACTGTGGTTTGCTTTTAATGGAGTAGATTGCCTATTGGAACAAATCTTGAAAGGAAATTTTAGATTCTTCATCCCTCGGTGACTAAAAGTCTTTGGAAGATAATTTTAATAGGCCACACGTTACTGTATTTGATATAGAGAGAAATTGTTTGTGCAAGAGGACCAACTTAATATCCTAAGGATCATTTTGGTCTGTAACAGCTACAAACCCTAAGAGCTGGAGCATGTAATAAATGTGGGTATTGAAGCATTGATGTCACCTACTATAGACCTGTTAAAGGGGACTCCTGACTGACTTGGATACACAGTCCATGTAGCTTAGAAATTCTTAGAAAGGCAGTTGGGGGGAACAGTTTTAGTCATTGTTACAGTGTTTGCATTCAAAGATGAACTGAACCTCTTTCTGAAGGGGTGGGTGCACACAGACTAAACTGTGGGACAGTCGATACAAGAACAGTGGATCTGTAGATGCTGTGTTGATGCTGGACTAGAGCAGAAAGCAGCAGGTCGAACAAATGAGCAAGTAATAAGGCACATTTGAACAGTTAAGATACTGAACGTAGCACAAGTAACTTGGTCAACTGTAGGTTGACTGCTCTGCTGTTTGCCCCTTAGATCCCTGTGGGCATAAATTACCTCACTTAATGAGTTCAGTTTAAACACATTTATATGTAAACCAATCTATAATAGTGTAAATCCCTTTGCAAACACTGTTTCTCAGCTAAGCTAAGGTTTGATTTGTAATTTATTTCATTTAAACTGAAATGACTGATTCAGATCAAAACAAGGGCTCTTACATCACTGTAATGAGATTGCTGTAATACTGTCCTGTTACACACTGTGAGGTTTGGCAAACCATCAGAACAGCGAATCTGAGGTGACAGCGAGGGTGGATGTGCCAGGGTTTCTGTTTCTGTGTGACTGACGTGTTAAACTCTACTGGCTTTGCTTTGTGGTAGGGAGTACGCGGAGTCAGTGGGGCGGAAAGTGCGGGATCTGGGCATGGTAGTGGACCTGATCTTCCTCAACACAGAGATGTCACTGTCGCAAGCCCTGGACGATGTGAGCAGAGGAGGGTCTCCTTTTGCCATTGTCATCACCCAGCAGCATCAAGTTCACCGCTCTTGCACTGTTAACATCATGTTTGGCACCCCACAAGGTACTGAGGTCTCAGTAGGTTCTGTAGCTGTGTGTTCGCTCCGAACCACTCCCAGTGCTGCTTCAGAACACTTTCAAGCAGGATCACACAAGACAAGGTTCATCCTTGCTGTGACATAAGTAGTTATTAATGACTTGACACCATGTCATAAATGTGAATATCATTATTTGCAAGTTTCCATAATACTTTATTTGTCCCTTGTCAAAAGGACTGTTTTATTTCTGCCAAGAGGGAATCTTGGCTGCAGTCTCAGCACCTAACACCACCAGCCTTTGCATCCGGGGGCAAGCCATGAGCCCCAGCTCATGCCCTGGCATTGCCCTGGCAGATTTCTGAGTAAGACCAGTCCAACCTCAGTTTATCACTTGTTCTCAAAGACAGCGTGTTTGGAATGTGGCAAATTACAGGACAGATTTTAAACCCAAATGTCATTTAAGGAAAACAGGGTAATGATTATGTGTTCGGGCATGGTAAAGATGCAGTCATGAAACTGGGAAGAGTTATAAAAAGGTAGGACTATAAAGGGGTTGGGTCTATGCGCGCCACCTTCTGAGCGCCACTTACGCTTGTCGCAACGCTTTTCATCTCAGGGTGTGACTTGGTGGTTGTGAGGGTGGGTGTAGGTATTAAAAACAGTCTCATCAGAATGTGATTTTGGAGAGCAGCCTGTGCTCTCATTGCAGGCCTCTGCACATCCTCTGTTTACACATGGGGCTTGTGCGACTTGAGCTTTGGGAGATTATTGCTCCCTGACTGTGCTCTCAAGTAATGTTTTGTGAGGTTCATCTGGGAGAGTAAACATCTGAATGCACAGTCACGGCTTTTTGCGTGCTCACTGAGGAAGCCCAGGTTTTTTTAGTATGGGGTGCAGATGTGGTAGGAGGGTTCCCTAACTTGTGCAGAAATACAGCTCACACACTTCACTGGGCTTTCCACTGCCCTTGGTTTTAACTCTTAACTCCTTTGGTTAACACCCATCCTCCCACAAAGCTTCCCTTCTTTTCTGGATCTAATGATGGTGTATTGCATCTAATAAGAACCCCAGCTCATCCACAGCTCTTTCTAGAGATGAAATATGTTCACTTGAACCACACACAGCCAACTTGCCATTCGCGTCAGTTTCAGGGAACTCTTTCACCACTGGTGCAAAGCATAATGTTAAAATGAACCCCAGTTCCCTGTAACAAGGAAATGGGTGCCAGGATTTAATGTTCTGCAGGTGTGAAAGCGCCCGCAGCTTTGGGCACTCTTTGGAATGCGAAGGCTCTTTTGATCTCCCTGCTTCAATCTGTGTTCAAGGGATTGTTTGTGTCTGTGCTTTGTGAGGTGGAAATAATGACCTCAAAAACTTCAAAAGGCATCTGCACAAAACCCCAAAGAGTGTTGCAATTGGCCATCACTGGTTGTATTGTAGAACCTGATGGCTGCTTACTGCCCCAGTAGTAAACATAAGCAGCAATTATGTGACATTGAGCCAGTGCTTCTCTCCTCCCCACCTCCTGTGTACACACACATTGTATCGAGGGGTTGGCACTACAGAACCAAGAAGTATTCCCACTGCTGTCCTCCTCCCGAAAGCTTTAGCAGCCTTCAGAGGGCAAGTTTTGGATCTGTCCAAGAGTTTAGCAGCTGTAAATGTCTCTTCTTAGAGCACAGAGAATTTATGTGAGAGGTAGAGTGAGCTGCTGTCCCTCCTGAATGGGTGAGAGGCAAGAAAGACATTTCTTGGGCTGATCCAATATCTCATCAGAGCCCTCAACTATGGAAGGAAAGGATGGCCTTGCTGGGTGATAGCCTTGAGCCTGTTGGTGGCTTAGGAAACAGAACTGTGATTGTGGAAGCTTGGGAAGCTTCCCAGGCACAGACTTCAGCTGTGCCTGAAATCCCAGAGTAGTGAGTCCCTGCCTGCTGAATGAGGTGCTGGCGTGCATGAAGCAAGGCACCTCCTGTTACCCTCCTTTGCTTTCCCTCGTGCAGAGCACCGCAACATGCCCCAGGCGGATGCCATGGTGCTGGTGGCCAGGAATTACGAGCGCTACAAAACGGAGTGTCGGGAGAAGGAGCGCGAGGAGATCGCCCGGCAGGCGGCCAAGATGGCAGATGAGGCTGTCCTGCAGGAGCGGGAGCGCCCGGGCCCTGGGGACGAGGGGGCCCGGGGAGGTCACCCCCCGGCGATCCAGACCCTCCTGAACCTGCTGGCAGACAACCGCTACCTGACTGCTGAGGAGATGGACAAAGTGATCAATTACCTGAGGGACCGGAAGGAGCGCCTCCTGAGGGGCAGCACCGAGACTCTGCAGGGTGAGGCTCAGGCGCAGGCGAGGCCACCGGTCACACGGTCTGTGGTCCCCCTCGGCTGGAACAGGGAGAGTCCTGGGATTGCAGAGGAGTCCTAGTGCCATAACTGCCTCACACAGCACCTCAGGTTACTGAGATGGGCATGGCCTTGGGAGAACTGAGACCATTTAGATCTTCCATGTGAAAGAACTTTTATACTGGATTCTCTCAGAAAAACGACAGACCTGCCGTAATTGGTTTGGCTGCTGCAAGAAGGGCAGCAGCTCTGCGTGGTGGTTTGGGTTCCCCAGAGCTGTGCAGCTCTCCTGTTTAGAGGGAGGGTATTCACTGATACTTGTGTCTTTGGTAGCTGTTTCACGGGTTTTCTTTAGGTGCCCCTTCAAGGGCACATGCAGAGCTTTAACCCTCTTCCTTTTCTTTCCCAGCACCCATGTCAAGACAATCCTTGGGGGCACCTTCAGGATCATCTCTGGGAAGTCAGTCCAGCCTTCCAAGCAATCAGGCTCATCAGGGTTCACAGCCTCTGGTCTCTGCTCCTTCTGTTCCAGTGTCCTCTTCTAATCCTCAGCAGGAGCTTCAAGCAAAAATCCTCAGTCTCTTCAACAGTGGGGCAGCAGCTGTGGCGAACAGGGCTCCCGCAGCCGCTGCCAGCACGTCGGGCGGCGCGCCGAGCCAGAACTTCGCTAGCATGGGCAGCGGCCAGGCCCGCCCAGCACAGATGGGTGCTGGAAACTTAACCCAGGCTCAGCAGAGATTGCAAACTCCAAGCACACAGATTCCTGCTCTCCAAGGCCCTTCAAGAAATGCCGGTCCGAGACCTGGAGCTCCTCCACAAGCTCAGTCACTCTACAGTCAGCACCAGAATCGCCTCCCTGCGCCTAGCAATGTACCTGCTCAAAGGCCAGTATCTTCTGGTATCAACTTTGACAACCCCAGTGTGCAGAAAGCCTTGGACACCCTTATCCAGAGTGGTCCTGCACTCTCCCACTTAGTGAGCCAAACAGTGGCCCAAGGGCGAGCAGGGTCCTCAGCCCAGCAACCTATGGGTTCCTACCAGCGACACTACTAAAGCTGAGCTGTCAGGCCCTTTCCCCTTCCCTTTGCCATTCCATACTTATAGCTGTTTAAAGAGTCTCCTGTCCTTGACACGGGACAAATGCCCCTGGATATATGCATGTGCTCTCCACCTGGCGAGAGTGTACCCCGGTGGCGCTGTGCTCTGGCTGGCAGTGTCTGGAGAAGCACACTCTGGTTCCCTGATGGCAGGAGCTGCTTTTGATAGTCGGTTGTTTTGTCCAGTCCCAGAAGCTGCTGCAGTGATGGTCCTGCTGCATTTTCCTCGCTTCAAGCAGCTGGTGCATCTTCACGTTGAGGTGCAGCCTGGTCTTGCTGAATGGTCTTAGTATAGTTTTGGGTCAATGGTTTTGAGGAAACGGGGGACTGGACAGAGCCTGAGTGGGCCTCTTGGAGACCCACCTTCTCGGAATGGGCACTATTTTTCTTCGGGTTTCTTTTTTTAATTTTTTTTTTTCAATGCCACACAAGCCAGTTGGAAGTTCCAGTGGTAGCACTAGAGCCGAACTCATGGAGCACATGCCTGACCCTACTCGTCTACCCAGGACCACGCTGTGTGGTCCTTCCCTCACTGGAGTGTCGTGTCCTGGCAGAGTGGGGCAGAGGAATGCTGCTCCCTGCGCCCAGCCCATGGAAAGCAGCTGCTTTGGCCCCAGTACTGTGGCAGATCTGAAACAAAAGCTTCCAGCAAAGGCAGAGATTTGAAATGGGCTCTCAGTTTTCCTACACCCAGCAGTCAGTGTTAAGATCGATCTGTTAAATTTGGTGTATAAATTTCCTTTCATCTAACCCAACTGGGGACAGTTGGTTGCTGTAGCCCAAGACTTTGGCCGCAGCCGTGCTGCTGGGTCTGCCTTGGCAATACCTGCAGCCAGTTACAAGGGGTGAGTGCTCTCGCTGTTGGTTGGTGTGTTATCCCTCTGAGGAGGTGAGGCAGTGCCATGACACAGTACCATCATTTTATCCATTTTCTTCAACACTTTGGTAGCTGCAGCAGACAGTTGAGTGGAAAATGGAGCAGTGATTCTTCACCGTGTTTATAACCAGTAACATACTTTGATACTAGAACACAAAACATCTCTTAACAACGTGGTCCTCCCAGTCACAGCCCCCTTAGTCCGGGCAGCACCAAGCGAGCAGTGTGCTCGGAGCTGAGGGTTTGTTTGTCCCAGATGGTTTGTGTTGTAGCATTTGATTTTTTTTCTCTCTGTGCTGTTAACAGGAGGACGTTACTTTCTAATAAAAAGACAGGAAAAACATTTTGTTGTGTTTTTGACACTTGACAGCTTGAGTACTACTGGAATGCAGCATTCCACAGCGTTCGCCATTGCTCTCTGCTTTCAGATGAGCCGTGTCAGGCGCTGCCCAGTGCCGGGTGCAGAGCGGGCAGGTACGAACCTCGCTGTGACCCACTGTGAGAATGCCTCAGGCAGCACCTCACACACCCTTTGCTGGCAGAGCACTTGGATGACCATGGGCAGAGCTGCTGTGGCTGGCATATGCCATTACTGGCATGTGCTGGGACCGGCATGTGGGGTCCCAACGCTGTGGCTGCTGGTGTGGAGGGGAGGGATGCTCAGGAAGCAGGGAGCTGCTCTGGTGCCACTGTGAGCTGCACGGCTGCTGCACAAAGTCAGGGCTGCACCTCCCTGTGCATTCAGCACTGGCCTTCCCCAGCGTGGTGCCACCACTGCTGCACAACGGGCAAGTGGGTAGGAGCGTGTCTGTCTCCCATCTTTCCTCCTCCAGTCTGTCTTTGTTAGATCCCTTTCTCTGTCTCTACAACCCCCCAGACAGTAAAGACTTTGCTGGGGTGATCAGAAAGTTGCATGAGCTTAAACGTGGGAACTGGCCCTCAGGAGAAGCTGTTCCTCTCCTGACGTTTTGCTTCCTCTACAATCTGCTGCTCCCTGTCGGGGCTTGCTCCTAGTTATGGAAATAGAAACAGCCAGGTGCTAAATAGCTGTGGAGATCCTGGAAGCAAGTGAAGACTCCCCATGTGAGTAGTGAAGGGTGTAATAAAATCATTTATTGCATTTTGTGCAGACAGGAGTCTAGAAAAATGGATACAGTTAAAGCAGTAAAGCATTAACAGGGAGCATTCAACAGCTGAGGAGCTACTCCTCCATTAGTACCTGCACAGAGAACACAGGGGCTGTACTGAGGCGGCCTAATGCACAATACTGAAACACAGAAATTAAATGCAATCCTAATACTGTTTCTTTTTTTTCCTTTTTTTTCTTTTTGGTTTGCAACCCATTTTATTTACAAGGTTTTAAACTTAATTGCATTGCTCTGCACACAGATTCTCTAAAACACAAAGCATACTAGGTCACTACATGTCTATTGAAATATTGCACTCGAATAAAAGTCACTTGAATGGACGCAAAACATCAAGCTACGGTGGTTAAAAGGTTATCGAATGAGCTGACTGTGTGGTAACATTCATAACAAATATATTGCACATGTAGCACAGAAAGTGTTGTAACCAGCAAATCTCAGACCCTTTGGTCTTTCTGCTAGTTTTTAGTCCTGCTACACAGAGGAGGGTCTTGACTCTTCTAGTGCAACTCTTACCCTTGTGCAGTATCTCATCCTGCCTTTCGTCCAGCCACGGACCAACATTGGCCCAGGCTGGAGCTGCCTGTGCCTCCGGCAAGTGCTGTCTTGCGGCTTTTGGGCC